CCCCCCCCCTATCTCAGGGTCTGGATGACCCCTCCCCCCCCTATCTGAAGGTCTGGATCCGCCACTGCATTTGACACACTACAGCCCCCGGTTACAGCTTCACAGCGGTCAAACAAGTGAAATTTGCAAAAGTTAAGCGAAATACTTCAAAGTTAAGGTTGCTACTTTCACTATCGAAAGTTTAGGATATTACCAACATCCTGTTAGTTTACTAAACTTTTTAAAAGTTTACTAAAAAAGTTCTAAGTGATTGAAAACCGATGCTGGCGTTATTATCGGCGCCATTTTCAAACATGATTCTCTTTTAGCGCGAGGGGTTTTCAGCGAAAAAAGCTCAAAATTTTGAGAAAAATGGAACGATAGTTATGTTGACTTACTGATTTATACATCTTTGCCCATTTTTCTTTAACTGGTAAATGAAATCCCAGCAATAAAAAACAAAAATAACGATTTAGACGTTTGACCGCGGTGGTGGTTACAGCTGCCCTTATAGCTAAACGCCCTCTTAGCTGCTTCAATGCAGGGCCTGGACACAAAAACATTGTTTGAGGAACCTCTTAAGCTATATGAATGAACATATTTGAACATATTTTTTAAACCCTCAAGGAACAGTTTAGTCAGAGATGAAAATATGCGTTGCTGACCAAGGGTGAGGTCAAATGACCTGATATTTTCCAAGTTCTTTTCTGCGTGTTTATTGACAGAGAGAAAGTCGATACATACACCCATACATACATAGCCTTTATTAAAGTGTCAACGCGTTCTAGCGCCTCTTGGCACTAATTGGGGGCACATTAAAACTAATTAAGCTTAAATGTAATAAAACATATGCAAAAGCCGGAAATTTACACTATTCATACTAAGTATACTTTTATAGCGGAGTTCCACTCGCGCGCGAACGTATACCTAAGAAAATGTGGTAATCTACCCATCTGAGAAATTTTGGTAATCACGTGACTGTACGACCGTCCGCCCGCACCGACGCCCGCACCACAGGTATACCAATGTAAAATAACTAAATCAACAGGTATGGCAACCCGAATGCAACTTGAGGTTATTTTGGAGGATAGCATAGCCACGCGCGTCTTGTAAAGCAGGGACAACTAAGAGTCAATTTAGACGAAAAAGGAAAGCGGAGATTGTTTCTGTGTTCGTGTTGTCTAAAGTATTAAGTTTAGATTAATTGTCATGTCCACAAATTTGGAATATAGTGCAAGAGAAAGACAGAGAAAAAGAGAAAATAAGCGACAGGCCAGCGAAGCTCAACGAGAAAAAGAGTGACAAAGGAGGCATTTTTTGTTGGGAGAATTGAACAACATGAAAATTTTGTAGCGGCGGTGAGAATATGAGAAATACTAGCGGCCACAAAGGTGGAAATGAGAGGCAGAGAAAATAAAAGTGAACAAGAACACGTACGACATTTTCTCCACAAAACCTGTAACTAGGAAGTTTCTGGAAGTTTCACGTTGTAGTCGTCCAAAAAAACGGCAAAGAAATGTACAAAGAAAGTGGTAAAAGTGTACTGCACGTGCAAAGTTGCTTTTTTGCTAATTAGACCTATTGTTGTTTTTTCACCGTTAGTCGCTGCCTTCGCCGCTTAGCATTACACGATTTCATTTTTTTTTTTTGAGCAAACTATACATTATCGAGAGTTTCGCTTTTAGCCCTGGCTAAATATATATATTAAATATATATATTACTTTAAAACTATGTACTATATCACTGATTTACACTTTAGAACTAATACATAAATGAGGTTGGAACCTAATCATGTACATCTGCCAAACAAGCTAAAATTAATTGATATGCATACTTATTACACACGTCAAGTTAACCCAAGCATTAGCGCGGGCATTCACTCCCACAACCTTCAACAATCGATTTTACATCCTTGTTGCGTATCGTTGTCCTAAAAGCTGCCAAAGTTCCAATATTTCTCTCCTCCTTGCTCAATTCTGACCACAATAGACCTCATTAGCTTGCATGGTTTGTTTTCCCAATAGGTGGTTTTCATGCAATCTCGGGAGACACAAATAACAATGGTGAAATGAACAAATGCTGGTGGACAAACAAAGCGACCTAATGAGCGATCTTTTGTTTACCGTCCACCAGCATGGCGTTGATGACGTAACGTGAAAACCACCTATACAGGTCAAGTGATAATACTCTGGAGAACCGTTTCTTTCAAAAAAATTTCGTCTTGTTCACGTGCATATCTACGCAAAAACTATGAAAAGACAAAGGGTTAATTTCTCCTGGGACTTCTACTGGCAAAACAAAACATAAAAGCTAAAGAGTTCCATTGGGTCCGAGAAACCTGAGAGAATGTCTTCCATAACCAACAGTATTAAATCGAGTTCAAACAAAATCTGCTTTTCTTATGTAATAAAAACGCAAAAATGAACGAGCCAATATCTAAACCATCTTGACCGAACAAGCTTGGTCAATAAAGGATTTATTATATGGCCAAAATAAAGACAACTTTTTCTTGCGGGACAAATTCGGGGGCCATCTTGC